ACCCCCAGATGTTGCACATCTTGATCCCCAGAGTGCACTTGAACTGATGGAGTGAAACCATCAAGCATCGTCAGGACAGAAGAGAATCTGCCTTCTCCAGCCTGGATAAACAAGGCACTAACAATAGGAATTCATTTCCTAGAAGCCAGCCACTGAATTTGTTAGTGTTTACAGGATCCAACCCACTGTTCACCATCTGCTTTCCCTGCTGGGAGGCTCAAAACAGCAGTGATTAGAAGTGGGTACAAGTTTTGGAGTTAGAGAGACAACTTGCTTCCCAGCTTCCCAGAGCTGTCTTAGCTCTGTGACCATGGGTAACCACCGCAACGTCTCTGAGCCTGCTTCCTCACCCCTTCAGTAACTGCCAGCCCATAAAGCCTACCATGTGTTGGCATAAGCAATGTCTTAGGGAGACTGAGAGTTGACCTGGAGAAGCACTCCTGGTCACTAGGGCCACCGATGTGATGAGGGTGACAGTGAAGTGTGCAGGGGGCCAAGAGCAAGTGGGACCTGTAAGCTGTGGCAACCCTGATGTCCCTTTCTGGGAGTGGTTTCACAGCTGAGCACAAAAGGACAGATAGAATCAGCAAGCGAGGAGAGGCTGGGGTCAGTGAGTCCCAGAGTGGAGAAGCCTCGCCTAGAGTCCACCCTTGTCATTTCCTGTTGCACACCGACCTAGAGACCACACGCTCTGGCTCTTTCCTCTCTCCTGCCTCCACCTGCCTCTTGCCAGAGACCTGTGCTTGCAAAAGCCCTGTGGCCTCTGACAAGGTTCTGACAAGGACACAGGCTCAGAGAGGGTCAGGCCTTCCTCGGAGCCACACAGTGAGTTACAGGCAAAGGCCAGGGCTCCTCCCACCCCCTTGCTCCTTGCAACTCCCGCTGCAGCAGGACCTCAAGATGTAAGATTGCATCTCACTTCTCGGACAGCATAGGTTATCCCCTTTGTGTGGCATATATCTAGGTGCCCCCCCAAAGCCTCATGTGCTCACAGATGGTGTTTTGAGCAGGTGACTGGATCATGGAGTGCAATACTCACTAGTGGATTAGTCCCCAGATGGGTTGATTGCTGAATGTGATGCTGGGAGGGGAAGCTTGGTTGGAGGGATGGGTCTTGGGGGCGTGGCCTGGAAGGGCCCCTCTCTTTGATCACTCTGCTTCCCCCCACCATGCCATGAGCTCTTGCTCCTTGCCATGTCCCTCTGTCATGCTGCCCTGCCTTGGCACCAGCCCGCTATGGATTGAAACCTTGACAAATAGAACACAGGCTCAGAGAGGGTCAGAGCTTCCTCAGAGCCACACAGTGAGTTACAGGCAATGCTCCTTTCCTCCTTGAATTTGTATGTGTTGAGTATTGTGCTGCAGCAAGGCAACAGTAACTAAGACACCCTCTAGGCAGGACGCCTGTCTTTCCAACCCTTCTACCTTTTCCAGAGAGTCCCTGGCCACTCCTCCCTCTCTCCCATCACACTCTAATGTGGGCATCACTGGACTCCTCTGGACCAGCCTCGGGGCTAGCCTGTCTCTCCGACAGACGTGATTTGCAGAAAAGCCCAGTGCCCCCTCCCATCTACGCACCCACCTCCTCTTTACCCTCAGGACTGAGTTCAACAGCCTCTTCTGAAGCTGGTCTTGCTCTCTCCAAGCCAGAACGGCCAGCTTCTCTTCTCCATGCCAACCTAGTATCACTCATTTATGACCCACACATACATCTCCCTCATCCACCATGCAGTGTCTAGGAGCCTTCCTCCCCACCACAGGACAGTATGTCTCTGGTGTGAGAATCCAGTTTTGTTCAAAGGTGACTATTTTGGGTTCCATATTGAACAGATGCTTAATAAAGATTTACTCAAAGAATGAAAGAAGTGACAACCTGACCTTTGACCCTCCCTCTCAGTACCCTCCTGGAGACCCCTCCAGAAATCTCAAGTTCAGTCATGCCGCCATCTTTTCCCACCCACATCTGCTCCCTCAGTCCCTTTCTTTCTTTTTTCTTTTAGTCTCTTTCTTGGTAGCCATTATCCTGCTCTTTTTCACCCAGCCTTGAAATATTTGATCGATATCTCTTTATTTATTTTCTGCAGTGCTGGGGATGGAGCCCAGACCTCACAGAAGCAAGGCAAATGATCTGCTCCTGAGCCACATCCCGGCCCATTCCCAGAACTTGGAATTTTCTCTCCAATAACTAGTTACTTCATTAGAAGAATGAGGAAGTGGAGGCTCACACAAGCCAAAGGCAGGGCCTTTGTCTCCACAGCCCAGACTTCTCCCTCCCTTACAGTATCTGGGGCATTTATGTCTTAGTTCACGCTGTTTCATCTGCCTGGAAGAACAATTTTTTCCATTTTCCTGCACATACAGAAGCCCTTTCCTCCAGGAAGCCTTTCTTGGCCCCCTGGAGCACAATCTCTCTTCCTTATTCCCTATCCTATGTACAGAAGCTCCTTGAAGATTTACTGACTCCTTGCTCACTCCCATGCCCTGAGCGTTTTCAGTCAATCTAAAATAATTCTTCTCGGGCTGGGGATATAGCTCAGTGCCCTAAGTGTGCTTCTCTGGCAAATGCAAGGTCCTGAGTTCAATCCCCAGTACCACCCCCACATTTTTAAAAAAGTAATTCTTCTTTTAGGGCTCAAATGGGTCCTGGAGAAATAACAGCATTTGGGATGGGCATGTAGCTGAGTGGGAGAGTGTTTGCTTTTCACCCGTGAGATCCTGGCTCTGTTCCCCAAGACTGCAAAAGTTGATAATAAAATAAACAACAGCTTGCCTTCTCCCCTATTTATAATCCACCAATGGCTCTCACCTTATTCAGAATAAAGTCCCAAGCCCTCACTATGGCTTCCAAGGCCCCATGGGCTATTTGCCCACCCCTGCCACCTCTTCTGCCAGCTACCCCCTTAAACAACGGACCCTGAGCAACCAATGTAAAGCCGCTCTCATCACTTAGCATGTCACCCTGATTTGTGCTCATTTGAGCTCTTAGCCTCTTCTGGCATTTTCTACTTGGATGTTTACTGCCTGTCTCTCTACCCGTCCACCCCCCATCCCCTGATAACACATAGCTTCTGTCTAGCTCCTCACTCTATCCCCAGGGGCTGAACAGTGCCAGGGTGACAATAAATGGATGGGTCGCCCGGCCAAGGAGTGATCTGAGCTAGAGACATAAATTGAAGTCATGCGATAAAGGTGGTGACTAAAACCAGGGGAGGGCTATGATCACCCAGGGAGAGGGTCTACCACAAGGAGCGAGGCGGGCAGACAGCAGGGCACAGGAAGGAGGCTGCATCTGCAAAATCAACAGAGAAGGTGAAGGAAAAACATGAAGTGTGAAGTCACAGAGCCAAGAGGAGAGCTTCCAGAAGCAAGGCATGGTGGATAGTGGGGGCTGCTGAGAGGGAACGTTTAAGTCGACTTCCTGCTGACCTAGGGCAGACCCTTGTACTCCTGGGCCTCAGGTGGGAACCATCTGGCCACGAGAGGGACCTCTTGGGTCTGGAAACCACAAGCTCTAAAAATCTGATATTTCTGTTCATTCTCGCATCACCATGTTGAAAAGAATGCTCACCCATCTATGGCCCAGGAGAGAAGGGACGAGGGAGTGGCCCTGCCTTCTTATTTATCCACTAGGCATCCGCCCACTCTCAGGCAGCCCCTCTGTATTTCTGGTCCTGTCCCAGCTGGGGACCAGTAGAGGCCCCAGGTCCTGCCATTCCTGTCCAGCTGGCCTCACCCCCACCCTCCAACGGCCCCCTCCAGCTCCTGGCTTCCTGGAGGCTTCCATGGTAAAGCCTACCTACTTCGGCTTGCAGGATCAGAGGCTGAAGAAGACCCGGCTACTTAAGAGGCCTCACTTGCTGCTGTGATAGAATCCCTCAATATCCTTGTGAGGAGGGCTGAGACCCCGCCTGAGTGGTCCAAAGGAAAGCACAGACCCACAGCGTCTGCCCCACTGGAAAACCCTGGAAGGTGATTCCAAGGATCTTGTTCCTGGTAATCAGAGCAGTGATAGCCACCAAGACTTAGCTCTCCTTTGGGGCCAGGTTATGCTGAGCAGCAATCCCACATGAGGTACACAACAAAGTTGCTCTCCTTTCACATAGGAGAAAGCCAAGGCTCAGAGGGCTTGAGGTCTTGCCAGAAATCACATAGGCTGTTGAGTAGCCATGGCCAGTTGGCTAAGGCAGCCAGAGTGACCAAGAGCCTCCAGCCCCCAATAATCCTGAACTTCTCAGACCTAGTGAGGCAGAGGATTTTAGTCTTACAGTCTCCTACAAGCACTGTGACCTTGGGCAAGATTTATTTTCCACTCTCCCCATGTGCAATAAAGCAGATGTCTTAATGTCCTTCCAGTTCCGACATTATGTGATTATCTAGGAATTGAACAGAACTTTACAATATTTTTAAAGGCATCCATCGGGCATCTCTTTGGCTCCCATGGATCCGAAGGCAGAAGTAGCCCCTCCATTTGGTGGATGTGCACATCGAGGTTCAGTGAGATGCGGTGACCTGCCCAAGGTCACAAGCAAGGCATGGGAGGTGGGGCTCCATGACCAACTCCTGCAGGTCTGCTTTGGAAAGGGCGCCCCTGCGGCAGCGCCAAACCCAGACCTGGCCGGCAGGGGGCAGCGCCCGGTTTCCTCGGCCGCACAGGGGCCACCTGGGGGCGTCGCAGCCCTGGCCAGAGGCAAACCTCCCGCCCCGCCACGTTTTGCTGGGGAGCTGGACACCCGGATCGCGTGCCCAGGACCTGCAGCAGCCCCCAGGGGATGTGTCGGTTCAGTCCTCGGTCTCAGGGCTCCCCTCGGGCTGGGCTAGTCTCCTGGGACCCTCTGCCCCGCGCCCCTCCTGTCCCAAGGCGCAGAGAAGCGGGATTCCCGGGTCACCAAGGCCGGTGAGCGGCACCCCCGCCCCACTTCTCCAGGTAGTCCTGGCCGGCCCCACCGAGTGAGGTCGCGACGCGCCCCCTCCCTGGGCGGCACGCGGCTCCGAGCGCTTACCCGCTCTCCGCCGGCCCTCAGGTGTGCACAGACGCCCGGGTGCAACCCGGATCCGGCTTTCTGGCCTCCGATCCCGCCGCCCGGGCTCCACCGTGACCCCCGCGAGTTCCGAGCTCCGCTGCCCCGGGGACTCTGCTGGGCAGCGCTTCCCGGTCCCAGCTCCCAGCGTTCCACCGCCCTGCAGCTCGGGCTTCGCTGCTGCCCGCGCCCGCCGCCCGCTAGCGCTCGGCGCTCCCCTCCTCAGCTCCTCCCCTCCGGGCTCGCTCCCCACTCGGCCCCCCCGCCCTCCAGGAAGGAGCTCGGCCCCCTCCAGCCTGGTGCGGCTGGCCTGGGAGCTCCAGAGCCGGTCCCAACCCCAGGGAGACAGATGGAGGAGGTCCCCACCTGTAGGAGGGCGGTGAGCTGGATCTAGGCAGGGGTGTGCCAGGAGCTGGGCGGTGCTCGGAGACCGCATCCGTCCACTTCCCTTGTGTTCACCGCAAACTGGTGTTAGCACGATATTTATGGACATAGCCTGGGTCGGCGTGCCCTAGGCCTTAGGGATAAAGCAGTGAACAAAACGGACGTGGACCCCGGAGCCTATAGTATATGGGAGCAAATGCAATATACTTGCTAAGTAAACAGTGTACAGAGGTACATAGGTGGTAGAGAAGGAAATGGGGGGGGGGAGAGTAAGGTTGGGGCTCTGAAGGTGGCCAGGGGAGGGTACACTGAGGAAGCGCTCAGCAGGGAGATGAGGGAGTGACACCCGCCATCCAGAGGTGAGCAGTGTCCCACCAGCTCCTGAGGGTGACCTCCACGTGGGGTCAGAGGATTCTTAAACCCAGCCTCACAACTGAGGTTCCAGCAGGGATTGGGGCTACTGAGATGAATCCACCTGGCTTCAGAGAGCCAGCTGAGAGCGAGGACTTGGGCTCAAAGACAGGAACCGCAAGAAACTTCCCGCGAAGAGGAATGAATGCTGGACAGGTCTTGTGTCCAGGTCCAGGTGGGCTCTGACTGAGCTCGCCTTCTGTGCCCTTGGCAGGGTTTGTGTAGCGAGGCTCTGTGTATTTTGAAGCCTTGATATTAGGAGCATCTACCATCAGACTGTTTCTTCTGCTCGAGTGCCCTGGTGTACCTTGTCATGTTCTGTCTTGAGGGCTTCTTAGCTGGGGGGAGGGAGAGGCCCGAAATGCACCCTGGCACCTCTGACATCTGGCTCTCCAAAAACTCAGCAGCTCACCCACACTCTTTTCACTGTCATTCTGTGTCCTTCTGTCTACACAAAATTCCCCACCTACCTGGCCTTCCCCTCCTTCCTCTGCATCTCCCCCCACCCGGGTTTATCATTTGATGATTGGCCCAGAGCCTCCAGTGCTCTCAGTCTCTCCGTTTTTTGGAAGTCTGTGATCAATGATCATTAATAATGCAAAAGTTCTTTTTGTCTTAGTGCAAATCTCAGGCAAATAAATCCCTGGCAAATAGTCAGGAGCTATGGGCAACCACACCTTGCCTTCTCTACTCTACTCAGGCCTGGGCTCTTTTCCCACATAGGAAATAAAAAGATTGACCCACAGCAAATGCAGGCAGGTCTCAAAATAGGCACTGCTGCTGATGCCCTGGATGAACGGCTACGGAGGGGCGAAGGGCTTGGTTATTCAGCCCCACCCCTGCGGCTGCTACCAGGGTTCTAGCCTGATATTTTTCTGTTGAAAAGTCCACGTGGCAGGGTAGAGACCGACACATCCTGAGTATGTGTCCTTTAGGGAAAGATTCTGACGCCCCAGAAGCAGCCCCGGCCAGGGATGAGCGAGGGAGGGGCGCAGCTCACATCAGCTCATGCTGTGTACGGATGAAAGGAACCAAAATGGTAAAGGACACGCAAGTGGAGGTTGATGGGAAATGTCACTTTGGCAGCTGAGCCCCTACCTGGGCCCCTGAAGGTGTGGAGCGCGGTCCGCGGTCTCTATGAACGGTCCCTGTCCCCGGACACTCACAGTCCACAGGAGGAAGCCACGCATGGTTCAGCACAGCACAGGTGGGGAGGAGGGGAGGAGACACGCCTCAGCGGGGGGGTGGACACTGAGAAGGGCCAGCCCAGTGCTGAGCCCGGAAGGGAAGGGTAGGTGGGAAGCAGCTGAGAAAGCAGGAGAAGGGCAGAAGTGCGGGGCTAAAGAGAGATTCAGAAAGGGACCCTGAAGCTCTTTAGGTCAGCTGGAGGGCAAGAAGGGCCAGTTTATGAAGAGCCTTGAGGGCCAGATTAAAAAGTGCTCCCTTTGCCTTTAGCGCCCCCTGGAGCCAGGCAAGAGCTTAAGCTCGGAAATGAATAGCATGAACCGAGAGCGCAGACTGGCAGCTCCTGGTGTCCTGAAGTCTGATAGCCACGGGGGCATCACCCGCAAGACTGCTGAAGACCCCATCATTGCCACCACTATAAAGACGCCAAGAACTTGGAGCAATTCCTGATCAGCTTTCTGCCCCTGTGGACAAACTGCGTGGCTAACGGAAGCGGACTCCTAGCCACGCAGCTTTCCCTGCAGAAAGAGCTTGGCATCTCCAGCTCCTCCCAGCTGCCCCCTGAGAGGTCCCAAATGTCCCTTTCCTGGCATTCCAGGATCTTTCCAATGCAAGCCCACCCAGTATTCTTCACAGCCAGACCTGGCTTACGTTTTTCTTCCATCTAGAAAGCTGGGACCTAATCCTCTTGTCATACTCCTTGGTCCACAAGGACTTGCCCCTCAAGGTCCAGCTCAGCAGCCACTTCCTTCTCTGTGTGGTCTACCCATTCCTACTGCATGGGAGTGTGGTTTTTCTCCCTGGAGGGTGGCAGCAGGCAACAGCATAGGGGTTGAAAGTATAGGCTCAGCAGTCAGGCTGGGTTCAACGCTTGATTTCCCTGTGCAGTGACTATTCAGCTCTGGACAAGTTATCTCAGGCCTGGGAGTCTCAGTTTGCTCATCTGTGGAATGCTCACGTGGACATCACTACCACAGACGGTTATGATGAAGGCCAAATTGGAATCTTGCTGTGTCTGGTACAATGTATTACACACACACACAGTGCAGTGCCTGGCATATGCTGCATGCCTGTCCCTTGTCACTGTCACTGTAATTAGATACCCACTTCGCACAGTTGTTTTGTGTTCATCTCTCCCAATACGATGAGTAATTCCTGAAGAGGATGGTTCTGTCTTACTCACCTACATGTGTCCCGTGCCTATCCCTGGGCTCCACAAATTATAAAGCATTCAACCAAAAACTGATGCAGGAGTGGGGGGATGGATAAATTAAAGCAATAGGCCGTCCGGACACAACTATGCCTCTGCTCGGAGGTGGGGGCCGGGTTTGTCCTTTGCTGAAGAGTGGGGAGTGAATCCTGTGGCTGAAGACTCGCGTCTGGGGCAGGCTTGATCACCTGACAGTCTGTGGCTTGCTGCTTCTTCAGAGGAGCGCTGTCTAGACAGAGGGGACATCGTGCCAGGGAGGAGCAGGGACTGCATAGGAATCAGCGTCCAGAGGAGGGCTTCCTGGGAAGCAGGAGCCCAGCTCCTCTCCTCGCTTTCCTTCCTCCCCATTGCTCAAGACCCAGCTGGACAAATTTGCTCAGCATTCCCACGATGGAAATGAGCCCGTGCCTTTGATTTGGGGACAGCAGAGAAGGAAGACAGCATAGCTTCTCATCTCTTAGCGACAAGGTAAAGCAAAGGAGCAGAGAATCCATTTCTAGGACAGAAACAGTATTATTGAGCAGGGTTTTTTTTTTTCCCCCAGCCACTGGTCTCATCCTCTGGGTAACGCTGTAAGGAAAGTGTGACTGTGTATTTCTGTTTTACAGATGCAGAGACAGACACAAGCTAAACAGCTTTCTCTTGCAAAGGTAGTTACAGAATCCCCATCGTACCAGAGTTCCCAGGAACCAGATGTCCAAATATTTTGAGCACCTTCTCTTTATGCATTGCTGTGGTGAATGATGCAAAGGAAGTGAAGACAATTACGATGTGATTTCTACCCTTACAGAGTTTATAACCCGAAGACAGAGGTGAGGCCTCGCTTAACTTTGTATTCCCAGTCCAGGACCTGGCAATACACTGAATGTTGCAGAAAGCTCAGACTGTCAGAGCTGGAAGCTTCTGGACTTTGGAGTTGAAAGATAGCAATCCTAGCTGGGCATATTGGTGCACGCTTGTAATCCCAGCACTTGGGAGGCTGAGTCTGGAGGATAGCTGAATTCAACACCACCCTTCTCCACGACATAGTGAGTTCAAGGCTAGCCTGAAGTACATAGCAACTCCCTACCCCCTCCCCCCGAAAAAAAAAAAAAGAATGATACCAATCTTGTTAATTTACAGATGGGGAACTGAGTCTGGAAAGAGAAGTTAACTGGAAAATGTGGACTCATGGTTTGATTCTCTGTTTTACCACTTCCTAGAGGAGGCCCTTTGCATGGATCACTTAACCCCTCTAAGCCTCTGTTTCACTGTCTGAAAAAGAAAGACGAAGTTTTGGGAAGCGAGATTACCCACGTATACATTTTAGCCGAAAAACTCACAACCACACCCTCTTTTTGCTCTGATTATGATTAAGCAGCCAGAGTGCTGCGTCAGTAGCAGGACAGATCTGGGGCCTCCTGCCTCCTGGTCCAGCAGTGCCCTTTCCAGCTCTCTTTGGCTCCTATGTTCACTGGAGTGTGGTCAGGGGAGAACGCAAACCACCCAGGGAGGGGGAGCGCATGTGACCGGTCGCTTGCTGTCCTAGAGGACAAACACCCAGTTGATCTCTGAACCCACATCTCTGCCCCTCTACCACTCCCCTTTCCATCTTTGAGGTCTCTCCCTCTCTCCCCCGTGGACTCGGGTTGCGAGGCTCAGTTTGCCCAAGACATGCTGAGACTCTTGATAACCTGCCCTCACCTCCCACTGCAATTTCCTCTGGGCCAGACGGGTGGGGTGAGCCGGACTGCGGCCAGCAGGAAATTCCCAGGGAGCAGTGAGGGACGAAGGCAGAGGGCAGTCAGCGATGCTATCTCCAGCCTGAGTCTCAGCCTCCTCTGAGCCAGGGAGAGACTCAGAGGAGGAGAGGATTTTCTGTTTGTTTTCCTCTGGCTCCACTTCTAAAGAGAGAATTTAATTAAGAGCCTGATTGCTTTGCCTGGGGAATAGGAATCCGAGGGGACAGCAGGGCTGAGGCTGGTAGCTGAGAAGG